AATAAACAATGAAGAATTAATCCCATTTAATACTAATGATAAGCACAAAATTGCCAGCTGGCATTTCAAAAGTAGCATGGTAATCTTTATGTCCTTTATAACATGGATATATTTCTGTTGTAGATTGGTTAAGGATATTTTCACAAATAATCTTTACTATTTCAACCCCCATTTTGTCTCTTGTTTGAATAATAGTATTAAAAATGTTTATATTTTTCGTTAAGTAGTGTTTAATAATTTCAATTCCAATTCTTTTCACTTTTTTGTCGTTTCTGATAATTATAGCTGGATTCTTGTCTGATTTTTCTTCTCTAATAGTAAGAAGCCAGTTGCAAACGTGAGGTAGACATTTGATATCTTCTATTGGAGCCGCCTGTGGTTGAGGATCAAAAACAGAGTTGAAACTATAATCAGAAACGATTTGCTCTAGACGACTTACAGTAATAGCAGCAGACTCCTGAAATTTTTCTTTAATTCTTTTATTTTGTATAAAAGGATAAGCGAGATTATTATAAGGATTGCTAGGATCGAGTACCAATGGTTTCTGTTGCAATATATATTGATTGACATCGTCAATACTGTAGTATTCTTCGAATATAATTCTTAAATTGTCCAAATTTGTCATTAGTTGCAAAAACTCACGAAATGCTCTCCATACAGACACAGTCGAATATTTTGTTTCTTCTTCCTTAGCCACATAAATAGCAATTGTTTCGATCGTCGACGACCTTCCACTGAAATAATCTTTTATATATAAAGTTTTATTCCAAAATTTTGTTAATCTAATAAAATTATGGACAAATTCCGATTGATTTTTTACGAATTCCGCTTGAGTTTCGGCCAGACTACTGCTGAATATATACCCTTCTCTAGCTGATCTATCTAATCTACTTAGACCTATCATATTCATTACCATCTCCCTTTGTGAATTTGAATCTTGGCTAAATTGCGTGGCAGGCACAATGTCATATTTCGCGTTGTTTAATTCCAATCGAACAAATTTTGGATTTCTGATGATGTTCATCGAATTCTTCTCCGCCAATAGAATATTTACGAAATCTTCAACAACATTGTCATAAGATGGAAGAACTCCGTCGATAAAAATCATACAATCGAAATCAAAATCCACTTTAATCGCCGTTTCCTTCTTAATGCTGCCGAATATCCCAAATCTATCAATTTTAAATTTGCTTTTCTTCTCGAGAAGTTCGAATAATTTACTTGCCTTTCTTATCCCTTTTTCCAAACTTTCCTCTGAAGGAATCAACTTCATTGACAGTTTCGTCAACTTTTCTTCCAGTATAATTTCTTGCGTTAACATATTGAAAATATTCCAACATTTATTTAGCTAGCTCCTAAACATATACTGTATATCTGGTTTTTAAATCTTATCATTCTATGCTATATTTGTAAATTAATCAACAGAGAAAGAAACAAAACCGAAAATTTTGATAGTGATTATAACACGCTTTTTCTTTTTATAAAATTTGTGATTTTGCTGAAATTTTTCAAATTAAATCCTATCAAAATTTCGGTTTTGTTTCGTTCTCTGCTGATTAATTTACAAATATAGCATAGAATGATAAGATTAAAAAACCAGCGAGCCAGTCACTATAATCAGCCTATTACTATTTATAGCGATGATCCATCTGTAATGTTCATTATCAAATAGTGTTATTAGGGATTAACAAATCCACTTTTTTGACACAAAAAATTCCGAAAACGAATTAATTGCATATTGTTATTTATAGTTATATAATTTTTGTTTTACTGGAATTAAAAAGTGTCATAAGCGATAATAAAACTATTCAACGATAGCAGTAAATAAGTTATAACGTTATTCAGTAACGGATCCAGAAGTACCTAAAGGAAATGCAATAAATATTAATGTCTCATGTATCAATGAAACAAAATGTCATTCTTGTAGCTGCACTCTACAATGACATATCAATTAGTTTTGATCCTTGAATCTTCAACAGAAGCTAAAGGATTTCATTCCAATACTGATCAGGAATATGATGATAATGATCCATCTCCAGGACTATCCACGAAAAGACGGAGATATGCAACGTGTTCTACCGAAACTGGTATAAAAAGACTGTCGAGATATAAATGTAAGACTGCCTTATATAATATATAAGGCATGAAAGGCTGCCTTATATAATATACTGTATAAGGCAGTCTTTTATGCCAATTTCATCTGTGATTCATTCTATAAATCTATTGATGAAAATACTATTAGGAATGAATTATGCAGCTTAATAATGGTTTTTTTCTTGAAGGGTACAGTTCTATAAAACTAATTTTTCGCGGCGTTGGACAATATGAAAAGTTAATCAGGTAGCATTTAATTTTTACTAACTTTAATTACATGTTGGAGAGAGAAGAAAACTGAAATCGAATATTAAAATTTTTGGCTTTTAAGTTAACAATTAAATTATCTTTAATACAAATCACAATTAAAATAATTTTATTACTAATTATATGTAACTCCCAATTGTACAAGCTGCAGCTAAAAAACATAATACTGTTGTAAGGTGTTTAATGTTCTTACCTACCATAATTACGTATAAATAAAACTATGCATTAAGTATTTATGAAAACTATTTATTTATATTCTGTAAATTGATACAATTGATATTAACTGAATAAAATATAATTGCATATCTTACATGGCAGTTCTCTACATAAATATATATATATATAAGTTCAGAGAGAATAATGAGAATTCAACAAAAAAAGAAAAAAAGAAATCATCAAGCAATCAAAGGAATGGTAAATTTTATTTACAGATTTGTTCCCGTTAATATCCCTTTCAAATATTCAGAATAAATTCACTAGATAATAAAAAAATAAATAATGTAAGTTCTATATATTTTATTTAGATATATACCATATTCTATAAAACATTTTCTGTCAAAATAGTTTAGTATTTTTATTGTTACTGCAAAATATATCATTTTTTTGCTTTACATATAACAGATGCAAAAAAATTAAAAACAATATATTTGAAAATATTACACACACATTTATATATAAAATTATATGCTGCTTTTTCTACAAATTTCAACACAAACACACATCCAATTCTATATATTTTAAAATATTTCTTATGACATTCTTTTATAGTCAATTTGATATGGTTTACTTTTAATCCAAATATTATTAATTTCTGCCATTTTGTACAACTGTTCAATTCAAAACCAAAAGATTGTTAACTCTTAACTGCCAGTGTGCTTTTTCACAGATTTTTTATTATTTAAAGATATGTGGCATATTTAATTTGTTCTTGATAGCTTAAAACATCAATTGAAAGGGCACCCACACAAATCTTATGGGAAATTCCAGTGGTCCTGATCGAAAACTCTCCATAGGCACAAAGTTATAACAGTTTTTGAGTTATCCAACTTGCAAAAATAGCATAATTCACACACATTGTGCAGTAAATCTTTTTTTTTTTTTTAAATATAAAATGATATGCTACAACAGAGTTCCATTTTCAATTGTTATCAAGTTTCAGAGAATGGCACTCCTGCAATCAACATATATATAAGTGTGTGCTGTATCTACTACTGGTGTGATTCTCATGCTACTGGAGTTCATGCCAAATGCAGTTGTTGCACATTATCTGGATTTTCTTGTGGATAAAATCATACATTATGTGTCTATCATCAATAAAATTTCAAAACATATATTTTAAACCAAGAAAAATTTAGGGTCTCACAAAATGCATGCAAATTATGTTTTTGAATTATCAAGAGTCCAAGATGCTAAAACTGAACATTTTTTTGACGGACTATGGAAACTTTTGATCAGGATAACTAGAATTATAAAATATCAAACATTTGGTCAAATCCACTGGGACACATTTTCCACAAGGTTTGTGCAAGGTGCTTTGTTTTTTTTACTGCACATTATAAGGTAAGTTTGAAAAATAAAAAAATACATTACAGAAACTTTTGTTGCAAGCATATGGTATAATAATATTAAAATCATAAAATTGACATTTTATACCTGAAGATGTCTACTGGAAAGTAGATGAAAACGTTCGTGATACAATGTAATTGCTGGAGTTTGGAGTAACATTGTGAGTAGTTTTCTGTTTTGGAATAATTAATGATTATTCTAAATAAACATTTATTTTTTTAAAATAGAAAATAATGTCTGTTATAATAGAAATAATTATTATTTATTTTGTGCATTCAAGACATATTGGCTTCTTAAACATCTTTTTATTTGAGAATCAATACTGGCTGATTTACAAAATCTTTCATGTTCACTTATTTTGCTATCAGTATGAGAGAATGACTAACCTTTAACACCGTATTTACAATTACTTTCTAAGTCACTTTTATCAGTAAAATACTACTATAAGCAACATTCCTCAGAATCTGAATCCCTATATAAAAATTATTTAGAAGTTTTGGAAAGAGAAGCCAATTTAGACATGAAAAAACATATTACACTCACACTGGTGCAGTCTCTCAGACAATCCTATACTATTTTTGAACTTGTGAAAATGAAAAAGTACTGGTCTAGAAATAGCAAACATGCATGCACATACTAACTTAAAGTATAAAAATAACAAACTTTAACTTCATACCAGTGACAAATCCTGAGACAATGAACATGTTGAGCAATCTGAGAGACTGCATGATAACAGTTAAGGGTTCAATCTGAGTAACAGAAAAATAATTAGTTATCAGAAATTTAATTCATGATATTAAATCAATAGTGAAGAATTCATTTATGATTTGCAAGTAATCTAACAACAAATTTCTTATAAAATTTTAACACTTTATATAGAAATATTACTATCTAAATATTTGCTTTTGTTAAGAAAGGCACTTTTCATCCTAGGAGACTTTAATCCATATTTATATACATACAAACACACATACCTATATAAGCATTTATAAAAATCAAAACTTGTTCTATCAATATAATAACAAAATGGAATTTATGATATTTTACAACACAACTGCAAATATGGAAAATTTAGTTTGTGTTAGGAAAACATTTTCAAAAATAATTTTTATAGAATGATACATGATTGAATTTAAATGAATTAATATTTTTTACTCCAAAATTACAATATAGACAATTTTAATTAAATACAATATATAGAATGTAGTAAAATTCTGGAATTGTAACTTAAAAATGTATTTGCTGAATCAATGATTACAATCTTGATAACTTATTGGTTAAATTCTAGCATTCAAGATTAGTAATTGGTAATAATGACTCCTAAAATCACAAGAAGAAACAAGACTTTTTTTAAAATAAAAACATTTTACGTTACTATGGTTTAGAATTCAAACACTTGTTGCAATATGCCTAAAGGTCCTAGAATTTTACTACTTTCTATAGCTATAGAATGAAATATTTTACTTTTCAACCAAAAATAAAGTAATCAATGATTAAGATTTGTTTGCTTAATAATATAATTTGAAAAATAATCTTATACATTGAAATTGGTTACTATAGTTATTTTATGCTTATTTACTGCTAAGCAAGTACTTACTTGATATTCTATACTGCTTATGCTATAATGTATTGATTAATTGCCTGTAACAAACTATTTACATCAGACATTTCATTAACAAATACAGTATTGCATGAGGAGACGAGGCGATTGTCTAAATTATGCATGTTAACTCATTTTTGATTGAAAATTGGAATATCACACCAACAAATCAAATTTTTCAACATAATCCATATATTCCTAGAAGTTCAATATTTACATGAAAGTAATCTATGATACTGCTTTAGCAAATGTGCTTATATTTGCCATAAAATTGAAAGCTAGAAGAATGGTTTATTATAGATGCACAGCATCAAGTTAAACATTACACTGACTTCAATTTACAGAATGCAATGAATAATAAATGATCAATGTTATGTACATGTGTGAATATTTGTCGTTTCACAATCATGCTAGGATCTACTTTAAATGCGACAAATTTAATTCATATAAATCAAAAATAAAATAATACTATGCAGAAAGCATCTCTAATAATTATAGAGGAGAACTTTACCCAATTCAAAAGAAAAATATTATAATGCTAATAATGGCACAAATTCTAAATGAATTCATTCATATAAATAAAACATTTCCTTCTTTATCTATGCATATAGTATTATAAATCATTGATCATTAATTCTGAATTTGATTTGAATGTATAAAATAAATCATTTTAAATATATTTTTGAAAAATTAAGAAACATTTTCTTCAGTTTGAGTAATTCCAATCAATCATTTTCATAGAAAGCACAGCTGTAACTGTACTTTGATTAGATTGCACATTACATATAAATATCAGAACATTATTTAACATAATTAAAATAGAAATATTTCTTCTAGAAGACATTCAGTTAACATATTCATACATGACTAGAGAATCTTGTAACTTTTGAACAATCTAAAAAATAAAATTTTTTAAATTAAAAATTTTTTGCATTTATTGAAAAGAAAAAATTTAATAATACCTTTTGATAAAATTCAATCTGCCCTCTTAAGAAATGCTGCATAACCTCTTTAAAATCTGCAATTCTTTCATAGTGAAAGTGTTTCATTTCAGCCAAAGTAGCATAAGAGATAACATCACTTCTTACACATACAGCATTAGCTTCATTAAATTCTAATTTTCCTTCTTCTAATAATTTCTGATATTCTCTTTTCCTATTTAATGCTCCCTTAAAATGTTCAAATTATCAAAAAATTGTTTATTTAAGTTTCATATTAAAAAATAATTTTTCTATATCTAAGATGCAATCCTTTAAACTTACTTTTTGAACATTAAGAATATCGGGCCAAGCTGCTAACATTCCTTTATATTCATGCATCATATCACCTAATGGCTCAAAATCATTCTTTGGCTAAGAAGAAAAAATGATAATACTTAAATTTTCACAATAATATATATATATTTTAATATTTGAAATATTGATTATAATAAATACCTGATCTTCAAATATTTTTCCTATTTCTTCAAATGTATCCCCTGTATGTTTAATTGCTTTGGTAAGTTCACAAGAACCTATAACAAAGAAAATCATGTTTATAGCATTTATATTATATTTTAATATTTTAATCAAGAAATATAACTTAAACATACTTTGACTCTCATCCAAGTCAAAAGCAGCTCCAAGATCTCTAAAAGTAAATGCTATTCTACTAAATTCTTTTCTGTATGCTACAAAAATAAAAGTGATGTAATAAATCATAAAAATATAAGTATGATTTAAAAAACATATATTTTTATTTATATGCAATGCTGTAAGTAATTGATTTTGGTCAAATTATTCAACACATTGAATAATATCAAATATATAATCAAAATTTGTCAACAAAAATAATGTAAGCAAACTAAGACTTTACATGAGATTAATGTGAGATTAATGTAACATCAAAAAACATTGTATTTTTGAAAGTTTTCACTTGATTTTAAATTCATATGCAGAATAATACTTTAAAACTAACTTATACTTTTTGAACTAGGAATAGATTATTACAGTGAAATCCTGTTTATCCAAGATTATAAAACAAAATCCCTACCTCAGAAAGATAAGCTTAGTTCGCACTGAGTGCAATTCGCTGGTGAAAGCGAAAAACAGAGCAAATAACATGTCAGACATGGCGTTGTTTCCGACAAATTTTACCATTTTGCAAATAGCTTCGAAGTTCGAAACTGTCGAGCTTTTCCGCTAGCGAAAAATTTTCACATTAATCGTATTCCCTCTAGTTGTCACATGGTTCTTGTTGCTTTCAAGATGGCTACAGAAACTTTCTCATTCAACAGACTATATGGTGTAATTACAGATTTTTAATATTTCTCTCACCCAGCATTGTTTTCTTTCTGACTTACTTTTCTTTCTCAATAAATAAATGAATGTGGTTAACGACGGAATATCGAAAGTGGCCATTTTGTTTTTTGAGATAACTTTGTCGTTTGCTTGCAAACGATTGGCTGCTTAAAATTCTCAATCGCTTTTCACATTCACTATTTGTTCAGCGTGAACTAACCTATAGACATACAGAAAACCTATAAATACAAAATATCAAAGAACTCCCAATTACATTTTTGCCTGAGTGTAACAAGGATAGACTTGTTTCCTATTAATCAGCATATGATGTTCATCGTTATGCATTCTGAGGGAGTGTTCTTTGATTTTACTTAATATTTTGTTGAACCTTTTCTAATCTTATTGCAAGTCATTATTCACATAACACCCTAAAGCTTCTACTGTTTCACTGAGTTTCACTCATCAAACATTTGTGAAATAAAGTAAACACTGTGAAAATGACATCTAAAGGAAAGAAAGTGATTGTTATGTTAAAGAAGACTATAGAAATAAATAAAACTGTTTATAGACTTTTTATGTCATTAACAATTTTTTCTAAATTAACAGGATTTTCAGTCATCCAAATCAGTTTGATCCAGATAAACAGAGTTCCAATGTAGAAATTTTTGTTAATGTATTTACATTAAATTAATTTAATTAATGTTTTCTATCAATCAAGAATACAATTATGCAATATATTATTATTACCTCCAGTAAATTTTTTAACTTGATCTTGAGTTATATTAAAAAGTTGCTTAACATTATCATCTAACTTTATAACAAATTTTCCAAAGTTATCTGTTTGTTTCTCCCTAAAAAAGAAACAGTCTCTTATTAAAACAAGTAAATAAAAAATATTTACTGTGTAATTCAAATATTTGGTATTAAGCACAATTTTTAATTATAAAGTTCCACTCAATCTTTAAACTTGGAATCTTATATAAGTTATTTTGAATTTTTTTACAAAATAAAATTTAATATTTAAAATTACTGTAACATTCTATTTCTAACTAATATTGTAGATTGTTTCATAACATTATTAAATTTTAAAACTTTAGTAATTTTTTATGATTTAAAAGCAAAAGTACTTCAGGACAAACAGATATAATTGAAACAACAACAGTTAAAAAAAAAACAGAATTGACTGAAAAACTGATTTCTTCATAAATACATTATATAATATACAATGAGAAATGATCATTAAAAGCAAAATTATTATTCTTTACCTATTATAAAAATCATTAGATACTAATAAAATGTATGTAAAGTGTATTATATCTTATCATTTGTTTCATCTTGAAATTATCTTGAAAAAAATAATTATATATTCTATTTCATCATAAATACAGGTATCACTTGTATAACATGGTAGTTGCATTCCAAAAAAGTGTAGTGTTATGCAAATCCATGCTATATGAAACAAAGACTAATGCAAAACATAAGATTACTTACATTCCAGAAGTTAGTAACAAAAAAGAATAGTATACTTTTGCTAAGAGAAATGTGTTTATTAAAGCAATCAATAATTTATTTCCAATCGCAATTAAAAGTACTGCATTATGAATTAATATTAATTTTAGTTACATAAGGGCATTTTCTTTTTATAAATTATCGTCATCTCAGCTGTTTTGTTGGTCTTGATCAGAAGTATTAGCAACATTTTCATATTTTTTTTATCATAAAAATTTTTTATGAATGACAAAATAAAAATATGTTATTAATCGAAAATTGTTCTAGCAGGTTGCATTTGTTCAGTCAAGTACTGAGCAACTTTTTCCAGAATGTGTGTTTAAATACAGACTTGTCTGAGTACAGAGATACCACTGTACTTTGTAATTTTATGAATGAAGTACTCATTCATAGGTAAATAATACCTACAGTTAAAAAAGTTTAGTAACACTTAATTTTCATATTTAAAATTTTTTAGGTAATCTATAAATAGAAAACACAATGACAGTCTTTACAGCTAAAGTCTGAAAACAACAATGATACCTGGTTGATAAGGGAGGACAAGAAAGAAAAAAATTATACTATCTGACAAAAGGAACAAAACAAATTGAAAATTTCAATATTCTAAAATCAGTGGGCAAATTTGAGACATGCATGCGTACTTGAATNTTTAGAGCTAAAGTCTGAAAACAACAATGATACCTGGTTGATAAGGGAGGACAAGAAAGAAAAAAATTATACTATCTGACAAAAGGAACAAAACAAATTGAAAATTTCAATATTCTAAAATCAGTGGGCAAATTTGAGACATGCATGCGTACTTGAATAAAAAAAAATATTGAATAATGAAGTTTACATTTAAAAATTGTGAAATTTGTATGGAGGCTTTCCCAAGCCATGTTAGTGTGAAACTGGAAGTCGTGTTGTACAAGAGATATCCCAATTTTCAAACCACATTAGAGTGAAACTGTGTTGTATGAGGGATACCTGTATATTACAATTTATTATTATTATCATTATTAATTAATTTTGTTAGTTTATATTACTTTAGTTATTTGTAATATTTACAATAAACACAGAAAAACTTAGAAAAGTTAGCAAGTTATATTTCGTTTGAGAATTATTACAATTAGAGTTCAATGTTGTTTTTTTATACTGATTAGATAAAAAGACTGATTAGACATATTAAAAAGTTAATTTATTGTCATCAGTTGTAAATTTAGAATAATAGACTAAAATGAAAAAAAATTAAACTTATCATTATCACTAAGTTCTCAACTTGTAAATGGTCCTTGTATAATTTTAGATTTATAAAAATGTTTAAGTTAAGAATAATTTAAATGTTCATCTTATCAAATTCTTTCCAATAAATTTTAAATATCAGTGTTAGAAAACATTCTGCAAGCTTGTAAAATATTGTCTGACATTAAAATGCCCACTGTTTAATTAACTCTTACAAAATCTCAACAATGCTGGAATTTGTATTAACAAGAAAATTACATCTTTCATTATAATATTTTTTAAGCACCACTATATTTTATCTATCATAAATATCTATAATTATTATATAAATATTAACAGCAATTAAAAGTATAATAATTTGAACTAACACTGTATTGGCATCCAAAGGAGATTCTGGTGCTTTAATTGCATGAAATAAGGAAGCACCAGTTAATTCGTCTCGCTCAGATTTTCTTTTACCTGTTTTCCATCTCTATATAAAAGAAAAAGTTTTTTAATTTATAAATTTATGTATATTTTTAAAAATTCTTAGCGTTAACTGTATTTTAAAGGTAAAATTTTCTATGGATGATTAATTTATATAATTTTAATTATTGACATCACTTCTTACAAAATATTCAATAAAGTTTAAATCTGATTAATTCAATTATATATTATAACATTAAAAAATATTTACTTTTTCATCAGTACATGTTATAAAATGTTTCCAAACTTCAGATTGCGATAATACTGGATGACGGCAAATTCTATTCACCCACATTTGTAACTGGGCCATTCGATGCTCAATAAATTCTTCTTGATATCTACCTAAATTATAGAAAAAGAACATTCAAATTTAGTATTATTATTATAAACTTAATTGTTCCTGTTTCCATTTCCAAATTTCATCTCATTCCAGAAGTCATAAAAAAAAGAAAGTTTATAGGTGAAAGAGATAAATGTATTAGAAATAATAAAGAACAGGAATAAATAATTTTAAAAGTTAGCTATTCTATTACATTGACTGTAATTACAGAAGGAATTTGTCATACAGAAATTTTAATATTCTATGTTCTCTTTAACATTATAGCATTTTAAAATTTCAAAATTAAACTACTTGATTGAAGATAATTCTTAAATTATTTCAATAATTCTAATCAATTTATTTTTTATTTTCATTCTTCATTCTTTCTGTGAGCACTATGAAGACCTTTTTTACCAAGATCATTGTGTAGTAAGCTAGTCCACAAAGGAACACCAGTCAGATAATGAAGAGTCCAATTTATTTGGGATAAACTACCTAACCCAGACTCAAACCCAGATTACTAGAGTGGCAGATTCATGCCTTAATTGCCTCATCATTATAATAGATTATTTCAATTATATTATTATAATATACACCAAAATTATGTTGATTAAACTAAGTTCTTAAAATATAAACATTGCAATCGTTGTTATAAATGAATAATTTTAAGCTTCCTGTAGCAAAGATTATTGATATCTTTTTTCTCAACTAGGAAAAAATGTGTTATAAATTCCAAAAAAATTCAAATAATTTCTTTTCTTGACACTGTTTCCATTCATTTCATCAAAAATTTGCTTTTTCTTCTTTTAAATAATTAATACTCAATGGTTATGAAGAATTTTTTGTTTTTAATATTTGCATAGTTTTATAAAATTACATCAAGGATTAAAGAATAATTTGAATAATTGTTTACTTTTAGATTTGTGAAATTTGATATGTGAGAATCTGGACTTCAATGTGGTAACATCAACTTTGCCAAGTATCTGTCAACTTTCACACCTGAGAGTATATCTCCTTTTAAGTTCTCAGCTTCGATAAAGATGCTTTCATGCGACCTTCCGACCTGCTGTCCCAATTTCATCATTTTAAAATAATACCAAACAGGCAGTCAAGCAGTCATCGCCAGTTCCTCAACTGGGCCACTCAATTTTCCCTGTGCCTCAAATTTCAGATACATTTGGATACATTGGTTTATTATATGTTCAGATATTTTGTTCTAATTATCTCTACAGGTACGTCATCCTTTTCGACTACAGCCATATAGAATAAGAACTGTCATCTAGAACTTTCTTCCTTTCGACCCAACCAGCACACATCAGATCTCCATCCTCTACAAGATCCTTTACAAGATATTTATCTTCATGCGAATATCATGTGAACTCTCTCTTTTGACCACTAGATAGATAGGCTAAGTTGATATAACCCGATGTATATATTGTATCATGTACTCCTTTTCATTGAAATTAAACAGTTATTTAGTTGTTAACTTTAGTGTCTGAGTACTTTACTTCCGTTGGGCTGTCTCTCCATCTCCATCCAGAACCCGATTGCTTATTCACACTATTGCTCATGTGACATACTTTTTAACCCAAACTAAATTTGCCGTCATGGCTTTTGTGTCAACCGAGGCACGGTGGTGTCAGTCCTGACAAGACATCAAAGAGGTGCCGATCCTCTGGTCCAGATAAAATATANTGACATACTTTTTAACCCAAACTAAATTTGCCGTCATGGCTTTTGTGTCAACCGAGGCACGGTGGTGTCAGTCCTGACAAGACATCAAAGAGGTGCCGATCCTCTGGTCCAGATAAAATATAAAAAAAATAATAAAGGATTTCAAATCTAGGCTATTTTTAGTTGAAATTTTACAGTGAAACTTGATCTATCATTCCTGTATCAATTGTTTTCCCACATCTATCAGTTGTTTACTCCAGTCCAAATTAAGGATCCATCTATATAATGTTAATTTCTTCTTTCCTGCATGATTCATTTTCCCTCAATGTTTGTTCTGTATTTTAACTAAAAGAAAAATATTATCCCATATCAAATGTTCTACCCACAATAGAGGACTCTAAACTGAAACACTGATTTTTGTGTTGTACTAATAATAAAGCTTCCCATATGTAAAAGTTAAATCCAAAGTTAAAAGTTAANGATAATAAGTGAAAAATACAGAGCTCTTGTTTTCTATTATTATTTTTATTTTTCTATTAAATATGGTTGCTTGGGATTTGGATGTCAGTATAAAGCTTCCCATATGTAAAAGTTAAATCCAAAGTTAAAAGTTAAACAGTTTTGTACACAAATTAACATTCATGTATGAAACTAAACCAATTCACCAAATAGCTCCTCTTAATATGCTGCACTTATCTCATAGGGTAGTAAAATATAGTACTGTACTATAATATGGTAATCATCCTGATATCCAGGAAATGACAATAATCTGTCTGTCTAATTCTTACATTTAATTGCTGTGTAAATAATGGCAATTTATTTTATTTTACATAGTGGGCACATTTTCTGGCAAAATCACTTAAAGCAGAAATAGCTTAACTGTCTTTTAACAAAGTGGCTTTAAGTTAGCTGCTGCAGCATCAGTGCAGCAAAGTTCAGCATGCTAAAAACAGAAATTAAAGATTGCTGCCATCATAAATTATATGCATATTATGTAAATATAGATTGTGAATAAGAAAATGTATTTTAAACTGGTTATCTTAAAAATTAGAAATGTACTTTTCCATATAATCTTCTATACCAACGTAGACATCTTCAGATTTATTAGTAATGATGAATGCTTACATTATAAGTAATGCATTTTTACATAATATCAATTTTTCTGATCAGCTGCCTCCGATATATCAACATATTAGGTATTCTTATCAAAAGAAAATAGAACAAACTACAGTACAGTGGGCGATCGGTTAACGAACATAATCCGTTCCAAGACTTTGTTCGTTATCCGAATTGCTCGTTAACCGATTATCGATTTACCATAGGTTTTTATGGGAATTTGATTAACTTGTTCCGGAGACTCCAAAAAATAAAAAATATATACGTTTTTACTACATTTATTTATATGTAATAGTAAAAATACATATATATGCAGTCTTGCATTTTTATTAGTCATGTTTTTACCATTTGTGGGGGTTTAAAGAATCTGTCCAATATCGATTGCTTTTCTCTTTTCTTCAGGATTTTTCAAAAGTAATTAATAGTATTGTAATTGTAGAGATCCCCAACCCCATTAACCTTATTCTGGTTTGGATGCCACTTGGATGATCATTGTTCNATTTGTAACTGGGCCATTCGATGCTCAATAAATTCTTCTTGATATCTACCTAAATTATAGAAAAAGAACATTCAAATTTAGTATTATTATTATAAACTTAATTGTTCCTGTTTCCATTTCCAAATTTCATCTCATTCCAGAAGTCATAAAAAAAAGAAAGTTTATAGGTGAAAGAGATAAATGTATTAGAAATAATAAAGAACAGGAATAAATAATTTTAAAAGTTAGCTATTCTATTACATTGACTGTAATTACAGAAGGAATTTGTCATACAGAAATTTTAATATTCTATGTTCTCTTTAACATTATAGCATTTTAAAATTTCAAAATTAAACTACTTGATTGAAGATAATTCTTAAATTATTTCAATAATTCTAATCAATTTATTTTTTATTTTCATTCTTTCTGTGAGCACTATGAAGACCTTTTTTACCAAGATCATTGTGTAGTAAGCTAGTCCACAAAGGAACACCAGTCAGATAATGAAGAGTCCAATTTATTTAGGATAATCTACCTAACCCAGACTCAAACCCAGATTACTAGAGTGGCAGATTCATGCCTTAATTGCCTCATCATTATAATAGATTATTTCAATTATATTATTATAATATACACCAAAATTATGTTGATTAAACTAAGTTCTTAAAATATAAACATTGCAATCGTTGTTATAAATGAATAATTTTAAGCTTCCTGTAGCAAAGATTATTGATATCTTTTTTCTCAACTAGGAAAAAATGTGTTATAAATTCCAAAAAAATTCAAATAATTTCTTTTCTTGACACTGTTTCCATTCATTTCATCAAAAATTTGCTTTTTCTTCTTTTAAATAATTAATACTCAATGGTTATGAAGAATTTTTTGTTTTTAATATTTGCATAGTTTTATAAAATTACATCAAGGATTAAAGAATAATTTGAATAATTGTTTACTTTTAGATTTGTGAAATTTGATATGTGAGAATCTGGACTTCAATGTGGTAACATCAACTTTGCCAAGTATCTGTCAACTTTCACACCTGAGAGTATATCTCCTTTTAAGTTCTCAGCTTCGATAAAGATGCTTTCATGCGACCTTCCGACCTGCTGTCCCAATTTCATCATTTTAAAATAATACCAAACAGGCAGTCAAGCAGTCATCGCCAGTTCCTCAACTGGGCCACTCAATTTTCCCTGTGCCTCAAATTTCAGATACATTTGGATACATTGGTTTATTATATGTTCAGATATTTTGTTCTAATTATCTCTACAGGTACGTCATCCTTTTCGACTACAGCCATATAGAATAAGAACTGTCATCTAGAACTTTCTTCCTTTCGACCCAACCAGCACACATCAGATCTCCATCCTCTACAAGATCCTTTACAAGATATTTATCTTCATGCGAATATCATGTGAACTCTCTCTTTTGACCACTAGATAGATAGGCTAAGTTGATATAACCCGATGTATATATTGTATCATGTACTCCTTTTCATTGAAATTAAACAGTTATTTAGTTGTTAACTTTAGTGTCTGAGTACTTTACTTCCGTTGGGCTGTCTCTCCATCTCCATCCAGAACCCGATTGCTTATTCACACTATTGCTCATGTGACATACTTTTTAACCCAAACTAAATTTGCCGTCATGGCTTTTGTGTCAACCGAGGCACGGTGGTGTCAGTCCTGACAAGACATCAAAGAGGTGCCGATCCTCTGGTCCAGATAAAATATAAAAAAAATAATAAAGGATTTCAAATCTAGGCTATTTTTAGTTGAAATTTTACAGTGAAACTTGATCTATCATTCCTGTATCAATTGTTTTCCCACATCTATCAGTTGTTTACTCCAGTCCAAATTAAGGATCCATCTATATAATGTTAATTTCTTCTTTCCTGCATGATTCATTTTCCCTCAATGTTTGTTCTGTATTTTAACTAAAAGAAAAATATTATCCCATATCAAATGTTCTACCCACAATAGAGGACTCTAAACTGAAACACTGATTTTTGTGTTGTACTAATAATAAAGCTTCCCATATGTAAAAGTTAAATCCAAAGTTAAAAGTTAAACAGTTTTGTACACAAATTAACATTCATGTATGAAACTAAACCAATTCACCAAATAGCTCCTCTTAATATGCTGCACTTATCTCATAGGGTAGTAAAATATAGTACTGTACTATAATATGGTAATCATCCTGATATCCAGGAAATGACAATAATCTGTCTGTCTAATTCTTACATTTAATTGCTGTGTAAATAATGGCAATTTATTTTATTTTACATAGTGGGCACATTTTCTGGCAAAATCACTTAAAGCAGAAATAGCTTAACTGTCTTTTAACAAAGTGGCTTTAAGTTAGCTGCTGCAGCATCAGTGCAGCAAAGTTCAGCATGCTAAAAACAGAAATTAAAGATTGCTGCCATCATAAATTATATGCATATTATGTAAATATAGATTGTGAATAAGAAAATGTATTTTAAACTGGTTATCTTAAAAATTAGAAATGTACTTTTCCATATAATCTTCTATACCAACGTAGACATCTTCAGATTTATTAGTAATGATGAATGCTTACATTATAAGTAATGCATTTTTACATAATATCAATTTTTCTGATCAGCTGCCTCCGATATATCAACATATTAGGTATTCTTATCAAAAGAAAATAGAACAAACTACAGTACAGTGGGCGATCGGTTAACGAACATAATCCGTTCCAAGACTTTGTTCGTTATCCGAATTGCTCGTTAACCGATTATCGATTTACCATAGGTTTTTATGGGAATTTGATTAACTTGTTCCGGAGACTCCAAAAAATAAAAAATATATACGTTTTTACTACATTTATTTATATGTAATAGTAAAAATACATATATATGCAGTCTTGCATTTTTATTAGTCATGTTTTTACCATTTGTGGGGGTTTAAAGAATCTGTCCAATATCGATTGCTTTTCTCTTTTCTTCAGGATTTTTCAAAAGTAATTAATAGTATTGTAATTGTAGAGATCCCCAACCCCATTAACCTTATTCTGGTTTGGATGCCACTTGGATGATCATTGTTCTGACATCCTCCCACTTCTTCAAAAGATCTTTAGTAGCAGATGTCAACATTGGTCCTCTTTTGTCTTCCTCTTTTTCAAAAGAAAACACATCTTGCTGAGTTTCTTGGTATTCTTCATTTGAGAGTTCTTGAAGTTCTTCTTTTGTCAGATCAGTTTCAGGTTCTATTATGAGCTCTAAAATGCTCTTTATTTCTCAGATATGATTGTCATTACTCCATCAGAAGCTTGAGACTTCTTGATATATTGTTCATAGCTAAGATTTTGCCTACTGTAGACCTGTTCAAGCCATATTACCTAGCAACAGCAGACATCTTGTGACCACTTTCTACCTTGGCTATTATCTCTTACTTGGTTTCTACGGTGAGCACAGTTCTTGACACTCCTCTTTTTAGGCTTCATACTATTATCAGTTTCTTTTTTAAATAAAAAGTTCAGAAAAGCACTTACAAAAATTCAGAGAACAGAAATCAACTAGCCCACAAAAAGTATTTAAATGCAAGGCCCGGATGAAATTTGAAATTTGGTATTAAAACATTAAGGAATATTTGATGGGACAGTTAAACTTTCATCTTTTGTAAATAAACCCCAATGCAAAACTTAACAAGTGCTCATCCGACAGTCTCGGGAAGACTATAAAAAATTTGTCAGAAAGGTAAACAAAAAGCTGGAATTACAAGGAAGAGTTTCAAAATTCGGAGGAATACTATCTGATTGCTATTGGGTTGAACATCAATGTTGATATCTCCTGTGCTACAAAAGGTTTCAAATTGTTACCTGAAGACAAGGGAAAATCAATCGGTATTTGTTATTTTCCATTGCTTCTTTTTATGTTTGTTCAGTAAAGTGTTCATTGTCTAATCATAAAAATCTTTCACAAAAGTGTTCGTTATCCGATTTGTTCGATATCCGAACTGTTCATTAACCAATCACCCGCTGTATTATTTTNGGTTGAGCATCAATGTTGATGTCTCCTGTGCTACAAAAGGTTTCAAATTGTTACCTGAAGACAAGAGAAAATCAATCGGTATTTGTTATTTTCCATTGCTTCTTTTTATGTTTGTTCAGTAAAGTGTTTGTTATTCAAACGTGTTTGTTGTCTGATCATAAAAATCTTTTGCAAAAGTGTTCGTTATCCGAATTGTTCGTTAACCAATCACCCACTATATTCTTTTATTATAGTATTCAAAATTATAGTATTAATTTTCTTATTTTAAATGCATATTAAATATTATATTGTATTACATAATTATAATCTGTATTTAGAATAAATGTTTAACAAATATGTCATATGAAATTTACCTGATATTTGCTTATCTGGAAGTGGGGGAATTGGAATCAGAGTGAACTTGTCTTCTAGTCTTTCATGTAACCAATCAAAATGTTTATAACGGCGACTGACTTGTATATTATTAAACTGAAAAATTAGTTATAATAGCATATTTTCAAAACCTAATTTATAGTTGTTGAATACTATTTTACATTAAAATTTCAAAACTTTATAAGTTTATAATATAGAAAAAACTAATTTACATACCGATGGAGTAAGCTTATATATAATGAAACTTTTCAACCCTTTTAATTTACTTTCTTTTTTAGGAGAAGCAACAGAGCATGTATAAGGAGTAGGATTAGGAGACCATATTATTTCACTTCCTGTATCCTTTAAGAAATAATTAAAGTTTTTTCAAGTTTTCTATGATGAAAATATCTTACATACAATATAATTTTTAACATAAGTATTAAATCAGATAGCATGATGAGTATCAGAGAAGATAACTGCAGCTGCTAAAAAAACTAATCTTTTGAAGTCATTAAGTACTAATGATTTTATTCTTGCAAATTGTATTTCATTGTTCATATAGTAATTCATTGAAGGAAGAAGAATATACTATAATAAAAATTGATATTTTAAAGTAGAATATTTGAAAATGACTGTACAATCATACTAATTATATTAAAAGTAACAAGACCTAGAAAAAGTTTCATTGTTCTGAAAATACTTTTATGAGATAATAAGTGAAAAATACAGAGCTCTTGTTTTCTATTATTATTTTTATTTTTCTATTAAATATGGTTGCTTGGGATTTGGATGTCAGTTCCTCATAAGGCACATTTATGTTTGTGCACAATTGTTGCTTGTATTTGTCTCTTCATAAGTAGTGCTGTATGTCTAAATTTGTACAACTGCCAGCAAAATTGGCAGATATAAATAAAATGATGCATCTGGAACAGTGATCAAACATTCCTGCAGGATAGACTATCAATACAGAAAGATATCATTGGTTGTTAATCAAAACACCAACACTATTTTCTAAAATTTTACAGAAAAGCTAAAAAAAAAATACACAGTTTTGAAGAAGCAAAATTTTGCGTTCTCTGTTCCCTGAAATGAAAAAAGTTGAAAGATTGCAGGTTACAATTAGCAGCAGAAGTAAAAGCTTCAGCAATGAGACTTTAAAGATATCACAAAAAATAGCTTCCATGACTTCTCTATAAGTAGTATGGACACTGGCAGAAAAAGCTTCCTTAGAAAGTGTGATAAAAAATTTGTTATATAATAAAATCTGTACCAAAAGTTCATTTTTTATTTTGGCATTAATTAAAAATTATTATACAACAAACTGTTTATCAAATGTTTACATACATTATATGATTATATATATACAGTGGAACCTCGCTTAATGAGCATAATTTGTTCCAGAAACTTATCGTAATGTGAAACACTCATTAAGCAAAACAGTTTTTCCCATAGAAATTAATGTAAAATATGATAATGCATTCCATGCCAAAAAAATACTCAAATATTTTATGTGAATGTTGACATTCACCAAATATCGGTCATTCACAGTAACATATATACTCAGTAAATACAGTGGAACCTCGCTTAATGAGCATAATTTGTTCCAGAAACTTATCGTAATGTGAAACACTCATTAAGCAAAACAGTTTTTCCCACAGAAATTAATGTAAAATATGATAATGCGTTCCATGCCAAAAAAATATTCAAATATTTTATGTATAATGTTTATTCAAAGAAAACTGCACAATAAATATACATTGTTAAGAAGCGAGAATCATCTTCATCTTTTCTTCTAGCAACCTGGAATGCAAATTCGAATTGCAGGAAAAAAAAAAAAAAAAATCACAGATAATATGTCTAATGAAGACGCCAAACAATATGCCAAATTCTTGGGCTATGTAAAGGCTATAATTAAATATTAGAAATTAATTAATTTGACTAGAGGTAGGCAGTTATGCTGCCATCTTGTATTAAATTTAACAATTAGAAATAATTAATTTTTAAATTTAGACATTTCTAAAATTTAATTTGGAATTGGTCATTAAATTTAATATGAGATAGTGTGTTTATTATATAACAGGCTATGATTGTCGATGTTTATACGTAATATGTGTGAATACAAGTTTGGAAAAATGTGTGATCACAAGCAACGCTAAGATGCTAGCAGAATGAGTGCTGAACACAGACTGGTGGAGCATGCACACAATCTGGGATTTCTCCTCTCCTTGTCATACATTATGCGAAATATCGCTCATTAAGCAAGTCAAATTTTTACAATTTGTTTTGCTCGTTATGCAAGGTTCCACTGTATATGATTTTCATTAAATTGCAGCTGAGAAAATTTTGATATATTAACATAATATATCAGTTATAACAAAAAACTGAATACAAAGAATACAATTTTTCATTAATTCTTAAGATTTTAAAATTATAAAGCGTATCTATATATATAAAAATGTGTGTGTGTGTGTCCTTCATGCATTACCACACCGTTTATCCGATTGCCGTGAAACTTTGGGAAGTTGTTTAACATACACCCACGAAGGTTTGTGGCGTAGTACGATTGCCATAAAACTTTGGGAAGTTTTTTAATACACTCCGGCATAGTACATTTATCCTACGATAGATGGCACGCGTTTACACGAGCATTCGAGCACTGTGTGTTCGATCGATTTCAAATTGTAAAGACCGTTTTCCCCCTTCAAAAAATATTTCTATATATGCATTTGTGAACTGTTATTTACGATATTCGTAATAATGTTTGTTTAATCACTTTATTTCAACTTTTTTTTGCTAATTACGTATTCGCTCGAACTTTGTTAAAACTTTAACTGTATACCGAACAACAACCGAAGTTGTAGAAGGAAATTCGCCTATTTTACCGATCTAGGGATCCCCTTTTCCAAATTTTAATATCATCTAATAATTTAAAAAGACAAATTACAATAAAACGGTTTATTATCCAACTATCAGAAATTTCACAACATGCCAAGGAAGAGAGGAAGGAGCAATTAAATAATTAAAATTATAAAGGATTTAAAAATATATATAAAAATGGGGAATATCGCACTTCTGACAATCGCTGCGAGTGTATGGGCTAAATTTGGAGAATCCATGCTTATCGCGTGGACAACTGTATGTGGCCGGCTCACGCGTCGGAAAACCTTCCGATTTATTCGTGTACGCACCAGACGGAAAAACAAAAAATATCGTGTATCCACAAACACTCCAATAAATAAATAGAATTGAAATGACACTTTGAAATGTTTTCCCGATGAAAATGAATAATAATAAGTTTCAATAAAAATGATAAAATGTAAATTTAATTTAATCATAACGAGTTTGCTTGAATTTTTCTTCTGAGATCGCAGCAATGCGCGACGGGTAAGCTAGTTTTTGATAAAAATAAAAACAATATTTCTGACTATTAGTATTAATCTCTTAAACTATTACTATTAATCTATTAGTATTAATCTCTGTTGTGTTATCACACATTTTCTTGAAAGAAATGTGTGATAACACAACAGTTTACTAGAAGCAAGATATGCCATAACACACACTTTGTTGGACAAAAATCGTTATGTATGTCAATACGTACAATAAGTCTGCTCATGACAAGTTACAAAATTTATTCAAATTAGATGCAAATACAAAAAATAACTGTTTTTTTATACAATTATGATTTTCTTGAATTTATTTTTCATTAATTTTGCTAGTATTGTCAAGTTATCACAGATCTGCATATTAAGAGGTTAATAAAAATAATACTTCAAATGTTAAAATATTGCTTTATTACAGTATTAATTTTTCTAGCAGTTCTGTGATAATTAGATATTATCTTAACAAAACTATCCAAATTCTGGATCAAAAGCTAACACAATATTAATTTCAATACCAATTATGATAGAAACTGTACAAAATTATCAATAAATATCAGTACTTCTTTATATTGTTATGATTGTACACTTAGACATAAATTTATTATATATAGTATATATATACATATTCCAGAAACAAGCTTTAATTTTAAAAAATTGATACATACCAAAATTTCTATCCATTTATCTGAAGGAACAACAGTTTTTGTTTGTCCAAGAATGTATAATTCCCCACCAGATTTAACAAATGTTGAAAACCTGAAAGCAATTATGAGTATTTATAAATCACGAGTATCAATAAATCAAGATTTTTAAAATGTATAAAAGTTTTATGTTTAATTTTTATGAATAAAAACTTTACATTTCTCAAAAAAGAATTTTGTAACTGTTAATTTCAATTAATTTCACTACTAAAACAAATTACATTAATTCTTTAAAATCTGAAAAGTTTAGTTCAAAATTAAAACTTAAAACAATACAATGCATTTAAAATCTATGTTGTTATTCTAACACACTTTCTACATAGCTGCAATCCTGTCATATTTTTAAGAATTATCTAATGTGTTTTTTTACAATCACACATACACAATATCAGTAATTTAAATGTTTGATAATTCATTATCAGCATGCATCATCTCATTGTCTTTTGAAAGCAGCAACAAGATTGAAAGTGATTGTTTCAGTGCATATACAGTACATCATCACATATTACATATACAAAATAGTATACAAGAGAAAATGCTAAAGGAATTATTTTCAATAAAAAAATTTTGAGTTACTTTGTGAGAGGACACTGGCATATAAACAATGTGTAAACAGCACTTTCATCAAAAACAAATGTGACTGTATTAAAATTAATATATTTAGCTTATATAACTTTCCTACATGTGTTTCTGGTGTTTATTTTCTGTTATTTGGCATGTTTAGTAATCTGATGTTTTCAATAATTTGACCACTGAAGAGCAACATGTTGTGTTACTAAGACTGCACTTTATGTCTGTAATTGGTGCAAAGTACTTAAAATATTTAAATGATGAATTGTTTTAATTACAAATGTTTATGAGTTTTTTATATGAAATATTTTAAAAATAAGAAAAAAATAAATTATTTTTGGGTTAACATTTTAATTAAAGTACTACTACAAAATATTGAGGCATTTAATAATGAAACAGAAAAATTAAAATTGATTGCATATATAATTTTTTATATTCAAACAAAATTAGAATGTATAAGAAGATATAAACATAAAATTTAACATTATATAAATGTAAAATACTTAAAATGATGTAAAAAATTCTGTTTTTGTTTTAATTTAATGCTGTTGTTATCAAAACAAACTATTTAAAATTAGAATTTTTTCAAATTCTACACTAATATTACAAAAACATAACATACTACAGAAAGCAACAATATTAAATATACAGTATAATTAAGATCTAATGTTTCCAAATTTTTTAAAAATATATTTATGGCATGATATAGAGCACAGTGAACACTGCTATGGAAAAATAGATAGGCACATAATATTCCTATTTATTTTCCCATAGCATTTCATCTTTTAAACAAATGCATTTATTGATTTTTTTTTAATTTAGCTATTTTGTATACTACTACCATTTGGAATAGTTATATCTATGATATATGTGATCTTATTTTATTTGTCAATACATGTAATATCTGGAAATGTACAGAGGATTGTTGAGGATGCAAATATAATGATGTTATTATGGTGTGTATTTTTAGTATAGTAACCTGAATGTATAACAGTTGTCATTTGTGGAAGCTTTTATTATGTAATATTTATTACATAATTATTTCTAAGAAGAATAAAATTCAAGTTATAATTATCAAATTATTTGCTGTTTATATCATCTATGAATCTATTGTTAAATAATTAATCTTATAGTAATTTTTTCAATCTTAAATCAGTATTTTTCAAAAACAAGGGAGATAAATTTAGAGATAAAGTGTGCAACAAATCACACAATAATTTTGCAGATATAAAGATTGACAAATTATAAAAAATTTTATAACTGGAAAATATTATAAAAAGATAATTGATGATTTTTTTAACCTTTCTTAAACTATAAGCTAAATTTATAGTTATGAAAATTTTGAATAATGTATTGATTAGATAAACATAGAATCATTTCACTCTATCATATTAATTTAAAACTGTTATTTATTTTGAATTGTTAAAAACAACAACAAAACTAACAATTCTATATTTGGATAGAGAATTAAAACATACTGACACATCAAGAGTGCTTAAGAAGATAAATTGAATATATACAAATGAATGTAGGTAAAAAAGTTAGTCACATTGTTAGGATAATTAAAAAAACTAACAAATAAATATTACACAAACAAGAAATCAAAAAATTATCTTGTTGGTTTTTGTAAATTATCAATGATCAAACATTAAACAATATTTTGCTGTTTTATTTTATGCAAGAGCTCAAAAATAGCTAAATCATACCTGTTTAAACGTTTCCTAACAGTCCCTTTACCACTTGGATCAACCATTTTATTAGATGTATCAACATCCCTATTAGGAACTGCAAATCCAGACATTGGTGGTTGATTCTGAGATGCATCCTAAAAATTTTAGATTTTTTTTTTAATATTTAAAAATTTAATTAGCTTAATATTAAAAATATCTAAGATTATAATGTAAGAGTACAATATATTTTATTATTCTACACTAATTTATTTATTTAGCATATCTTAGTTGAATGCATATGATATACTATGTATCTAAAAAATAAGTAAATTAGCTTTTACTTAATAAAGATAGTAAACATGTATTTTGTTCTGTGAACAAAATACATGTTTACTATCTTTATTTATCACAGAACAAAATACATGTTTACTATCCTTCATTGTAATTGCTTCCTGTATCTCTTTCTGCCACATAAATGGAAAGAACTGGATACCAGCAGAAGAGCCGTTTTGTTAATGTCACAAATATCCTACTGTTCAGAGGATTTCTTTTCTTGTGTGAAATGCTTCCCATCAGTGGCTCTTCCACTGCCATTGTGCTAACAAATTCATTATGGAAAATTCATTATGGAAATTCATTATGAACATTGTCATACAAAACAATGGGCACACAAGTTCAGAAATTTTGCTACTTTTTCCACAGTATCATTTTGTGCATACCTTTGACATAGCCAGATTCTTTGTGCAAATTTTTGGCCAGAGGGAGAATAAATATCATCATTCATGATTATTTGAGGTCTGTCTATACAATCTTGCCCATGTTTCATTTAAAGCAGTGATTCCCAACCTGGGGTACACTATAGGTTGTTTAGGGGTACAGAAAAAGTTAATTATGGCAGAAAAAATAATATATTATGTATCACAAATTAATAGTATTAAAAAATTATTAGGTAAAAAATGTTCTTTGCAACAATCACAAACTTTATTATACATTTCAAAATGCAAAAATAGAAATAAAAACTTATGCTGCCGATTGTACAATGCAACAGATCAATAAATGTTGAGCAGTCGGTCAATGGTAGTGGGGATACCATTATGTGATTAGTGATTATGTTACGGACTTTTGATGATGAGGTGTGTTACAGTTATTATTATTATCTCTCAATAATATCCCCACGTGTTGTTTGAAAAAAGTATTCTTTTGTTTATAAAAAGTATCTTTTATTGTTAGCAAGGAAAAAGACAGCTAATTTCTCCAGATTTTCTCTACAAGCTGTAATTTTTTTCATTATTTATTCAGTATTTTTATTAATTTATTATTGACAAGACTATGTCTTGTTTATAAAATCGTACTGCCTGCTGTGTTACCAGCTTAGAGTACATATCAAAAGTTGCAATTTGGCACAAAGTATTAGGTGCCGAAATCATGCGCGCATAAAAAAATCCAGACTTGTAGGTACTCAGGGGACTGAAAACAGAGTCAAAATAAAATTCAAAATGGCAACACTCTCTACAAACAGGCGGATTTGCACATGTGTTGCTCGTTGGAAAGTTGGAAATGCCACGGAGGTACGCTAATGAAAAATGTTTGGAAACCACTGATTTAGAGCAATGATCTTGTCAAAAAAATGAACCACCATGTTTGATGTAATGTTCCAACTGGTCAATGGCAGGAACAGAGCAGTACCATCTCTGAATATAAGTAAGGTGCACCCATCAAGATACAATTTTGTGGTAACTATAAATGTCTTTCAATATACAGTAGATCCCCCTATAAGACGGTAGATACATTCCGTTCTTTATGAATCAATTTTGTAGGAATCATAGTTTACGGACTACAGCTGTTTGAAAGGTTTTCTTTCATAAAATTAATCGATTCTAGACTAATTCGACTCAACATTTCCAAAATACGTATATTTTTTTGAAAATAATCCGTATAAACTACGTTATAAACAAAAAATTGTAGGATTGCTTACCGAGTGTGTACCGTTCGACTACGCCCGTTGCTAAAGCTTGGTTTCGTCGCGGAACAGCGCATCAAACCGCGGCCGCGATTTCTGATATTATTTTTCTGCGAAAACTTCGTTGACCTTTGGAGACATCCTTAATATAAATAATTTTTATGGCCGTTAAATAAGAAATGTTTCTTTCACAAGAAATGTATAAAATTACAGTACTGGACAGACGATAGGTCGCCTAACTCGCCGTAGCGTGACGCTAGACGGCGAAAAATATATATTTAATTATAATAAAGTTACAATAAATTAAGTTAATATATAATTATATATACAGTACCTAATTTATATATAATTAATATATAATTATATGTACAGTACCTAATTTATATATAATTATATGAACAGACGATACTAAACTCAATTTATCCGCCTAAACGTCCGTAGCGTGGCGCTACGGACGGCGGGAAAGTAGTTCGGCTGCCCGATGACGTTTTACGTATTATAGGAGTTATTTTTACCGTTGTTTACGGATACTGCCACAATTTTTATAGGAATCATAACTATAGGAAACGGTTTTATAGGGGGATCTACTGTATATAAAACAGTTTTGTGGCATATTTCTATCTCTGAAGCTAACTTCCTTGCTGTTAATCAACTCCACATGAAAACTTTCCAAGCTGAGCCAACTCAAATGTGTAATCAAGGCAATTAAAGCATCAGCCTACTGCTCTAAGAAACTTGGAATTGAATCTAGGCAGTCAAAAAACACCTGGAATTTTTCATAGGCAGCTGGTCACAGATATGTCAGGTCTCATATCTCACAACCCACCCACTCCATTGTGGGCCTGGCCAAATCCACACTGAATATGGAATAAAGGTCACCTTAGAAAAGGCAAAATAAAACAAAATTAATTAAAAAAACAAATACAGCTCATCCTGTACTGGATCACATAAAATGCTGTCACCCACTATAATACCAGTTGATAGGGAAATGTGTCATTACTATGTGCTTCCTGAAGACCTTGAAAAATTCCATAATGTCCCTTCTCAATTCTGATCCATAAACATTGTTTAAACTTGGAAAACACCTCTTTACTAATGGTTTTTAATCTTCCCTATACCTAGCACTTGGGCCACGATCTTTCTCCCAGTCCATAAACTTATGACTGCTAAAACAGCAATACCCTCCTGTTCATAGACAACGTGAAAACAGTGATGCCACTATTTTATATTCAATGCATGTATTATAACAAAATTACAATTAAAAACTTAGTAGACTTTTATGATATTACATTTAAACCATTAAATTCTTGAAATAAATTTATTTATTCTACATTTCACACTATATTTTCAAGACATCCTTATAATGTGACAATTTTTTATCTATTTTTAAATAGTTTTCTTCATGAAATTTTTGTGGGGACTTTTCAAAATAAAAATTATCTGAATAAATTTTACTGAGAAGTCTAGATTAGTGTTGCAATGAATAGTATATTCGGCCTCAGGCCGAATACCGAATATTCGGCTATTCAGCCAAACTATTCGGCTTGATTAATGCACGCACAAAAATTGCTGCACAAACCTCATTATGGCAAGGACACTGCTCTCTATTGGCCCACTGTCACTATGCTTCGCCAATCGAGTTAATTCTTGACAGTTGTAACGAACAGACAAGAGCGTCATGGCAGTATGTGATAAATGATGATATCAAATGTGAATAACAATGAAATGGAAAAAGAACAGAGAAAGATCGCAAATTGAAAATGTGAAAATAAATATGAAATTGAGCTGATAACATAATCGAAGAAGTCAAAGCAACTTACTGACGTGAAATTGTGGCTGTCAATGCCAAACAATTGTTGTCATAGACTTCGGAAAGCTAAATGCTTGTAATGAAAGTCACTTAGCATGCACAGGCGAAAGCCTGGAACCATTTGGGCTACCAAGGTGTCTCGAATATGTGAAATCATAACTGTGACATATACCGCCGTCCTATCTGTCTCTTTTCTCCGTTATCACCAGGTTATGAGTCACGTAATTATAAAATGGAAAAACGACAGAAAAGTGATGAATGGAAAGTATTGTGAGCGCATATTATGGTGTATGCATAGGCATACATGGACTAGAGAGATGGAGGAAAGAGAAAGGAAAGAGCAAAGACGAGCACTTAAAAAGGATAGGTAGGGTCAGATCCTCACGTGTGTGATGATTCTTGAACAAATAGGTGTGTACGTGTGCTGATCTTTGTAATTATAAATTGTGAATACATGTGACTAATATTATTATTATTATTTTTTTATTTTGTGCATGTTATAAGTTATAAATAAATATAAACAGACAACACTAACCTGACAACATTAAATCTAAATACCAAAATGATTAATTTACTGTGTTTTTGTTATATCTTATTCCTGTTTTTAGGTATTTGGTATTCGGCCGAATAGCAAAAAAAGGCTGAATACCAAATAGTAACCGAATATTCGTTACATCATTAGTCTATATCAATTATTTAATTTTTATGATTTTATTTCATTTTATGAAAGTGATGTAGAAGAAACACAAACTATGAAATGAGCATTTATTTATCAGTAATAAATTATGTTTCTGTATTTCATACTCAATAAATTTTTATTACTATTGTTCTTTCAAAAGAAAACCTTATTATGTAACTTCTTATAACTCATTTATTTCACTTTGAAAGTTAATTTTGATTCCATTTTCTATTATTGTTATTTTTAATTAAAGTAGTGGATACATTTTAATTGCAATAACTTATCATTGAAGTTTATCATGTGAGAATTTTAAAAATCTGATGAATTATTCAATGGAGACAAATTAAATGAAGATATTATATACAATCAATAAAAGTTCAACCAATATAATTTTAGAAAAAGAAAATTAATTTGATTTCATTAGATTAGTGTCTATATATGTTTACAAGATATAAAAAGCTTTTATCATTTCATTTCTATCAGATATTTATAAAAAAATTGAATTAATGTACTTTAAGAATGATAGGAAATATGAGTTCAAAGATATTACAATTAAATATCTACGAACTTCATATTTTCTGATATTTAATTCCTATAAATTTTCCATAATTTCAATAAAATTATGTTAACATTTTAAGTGAATTGTATCACTTAAAATATTAACATAATTTAAAATAAATAATTTTACATAATAATTTTTTAATCATTATAAAACCATAGTCAAGTAACAATCTGATAAATTTTGACATTTTGTCTGTTAAATTTTTAGTATTAATAGCAGCCAAGTTAATTTAATATGGGATTATAATACACAACTAATTATATCTTATTATATAAACTGTATCTTATATCTTATATTCTTAAATTATATCTTATATCTTAAATTTTATCTTAATTATATTTTATTATATAATTAAGAATATAATTAAAGAACTGTTTATACATTATATTGGATAGAGTCATAAATAAATTTGATTTACAGGTAGGTGTAAATGACTATCAAATAATTGAGAGAGGATGTGTTCATTCAATTGAGTTTTATTAGTGGCTATTAGCAAGTAGTCTCTAAATGTAAATTTTAACACTAAAGAGTCAATAATGTAATAACATTTTGTTTCTGAATTCATTTAAAATGAAACATTTGAAAGTGCACACATGCCATAACCTGTTGTAGTAGTTTAAACTCAGTAATAGTTCTACAGAAATGGCAAAAAGATTTGCAATGTCTATGGCAGTGGTGTAATTTCAGACAGAGCAGTTCAAAAGTGGTTCACAAAATTCCATTCTGGTGATTTGCCCTTAAAAGATGAAGAAAGACCAGGCTTCTTTTCAGGCTTTGATGACAACATTTTAAAGGTCCTGATTGAGCAGAACCCATGGTGAACAATGAGGGAGTCAGCAGTGAAGCTGCACACATCCGAATCAACCATCAATTGTCACCTTCAAAAACTAGGAAAAGCAAGCATGCTGGTAGTTTGGATTCTGCATTATCTCAGTAAACAGAATAAGGCTGACAGAAAGTCAATAGCTGCTACCTTGTTTTCTTGGCATAAAAAGGTATCTTTTTAGCTAAAATTGTTACAGGTGATGAAAAGTGGATCATATTTGAAAATGTCATTCAAAAAAGACAATGGGTTGACAAACATGATTAACCTCAACTGGACCCCAAACCCAGTGTGCATGGAAGAAACATTTTATGTGTATAGTGGAATCATCAAGGAATTATCCATTTTGAGTTGTTGCAGTTAGAACAGCTTCGGCTAAAACTTCAAGAAAAGCATCTTGCACTTGTTAACAGAAAAAAAAATCACCTTATTGCATGACAATGCAAGGCCACAAACAACAAAGATTACACAGGAAAAAATTTTGAAGTTTGGCTCGTCTGTTTTGCCTCATACACCATATTCACCAGATCTGGCACCAACAGAATTTCCAGGCACTGCAGAATGCTTTATAAGGGCAACACTTCCAAAATGATGACCAAGTTCAGGAGTTCATCGAGGAGTTTTCTGTTTCAAAACTACCAAAATTTTATGCAAGGGGGATTGACAGGTTGCCGAAAAAATGGCAAGAAGTCATCAATAATGACTGTAAATATGTATTAGATTAAAGTCTATTATTGTATGTTTTATTGGAAAATAAATTTCAGTTTAGAAAAAACTTATTTATGACTCAACCCAATAATAGACTTTTGGAAAAAAATCATATTTATGATAAAATTACCTGACCACCATAATTTGATTCATCATCATCCCAGTCATCATCCCAATCATCAACAGGTTCATAAGATTGTTGATTGGCATCTGTTTGAAAAGACTGTTGTGTGTTTTGTTGATTGTCTTGAATGTAACTTGGAGGTAACGGAGGTGGAGGCACTGATGGAGGAGGATTAGAAATTACCTGAATTAAAAATAAGATCACATTTTCATTAGAGGAAAAAATTAACACCTTTAGATATCTATATACAGTAGAGCGTCAATTATCCGAAAGTCAATAATCCGAAACGTCAATCATCCGAAAGAATTCAAGTCGGCAAATTTAAATTTTTGCCAGTGCTGTGGCACTGCAATCTTTGGCCATGTCTTCGGCTACTCAAATATTTTACGTTTTTGATACTAAATTAACTTCTGAAGTATAATTTTTTATTGTTTTTATATTTTTCAATATATTTATTTTGTTTGTACAAAATAAAAAAATAATTTTTAACGATACAATAGTCTTC